TCGCCCAGCCCATCTTGACCTGCTCTCACTGCCATGTTATGGGCAATGTTACCTCCAGCGCTGTCGCCGGAGAAGAAGACCTTGGTGAAGTCGGCGTGATTATTAATCCATAAATCGGGGCTTGTCTATCTTTGGCATGAGCTGTGTGACCCAATTAATCACTGCCCAGGAATCGTCGTAGCACGCGGGCACGGGGTGCTCCGGAGCCAACCTGTATTCGACGGACACGGCGATGATATTCGCCTCGGCTACGAGGGAGCTAACGTAGTTATGGTATTGAATGGAGAAGGCCGATTCGATGGCGAAGGCACCACCGTGGATGTAGATGAGGAGGGGACGTTTCTCATCGGGCTTGATTGTTTTGGGAAGGAATAGCCGTGCTCCTACCTTGTTTTCCGGTGAGATGACGATGCCTTTTGATCGGACACCACCGGTGACGGCGTTCGGATCTTCCGAATCAGACGGAGGGGTGAAGGGAGTTTGACTGAACTTCGACACGGCCATCTTTGAATACGCGAAAGAGAGAAGGAAACTGTGAAGTACATCAGGAGCGTCAGGTATTGGATTGAGAGATCCATTGATGCCAGGAACACAAGAAATTCAATTAAACCGATTCAATTATGTCTTTGTATCAACTGCAATTGATTTTTCTCAATCTTGAAGAAAAAAATTCAAGATTCTAAAGCTCAAATAAAGAACGGCTTCAAAGTCTGCGTAATAAACCAACAATCAATCAGTACAAGACACTGTGTTTCCTGTTCTGGTAGATGCTATGAACAATACACGCTCGTTGTCATACGGTTAAGAGTGCCGTTGCACTTCTGCTGGTTTGTACTATGATCGCGACTTGAAAGTGTGGAAGCATGCTTCAATGGTTCTATAATTACTATTATTTTTTGAATTAATCTTTCTTACATTGATTGCGACAGCGTATACAATTTTTGCACACATATTATAAATCAAACAGTAATAATATATATATATCAGTGTACTCTGCTTTTTTCTGTAGTAATAGGAGTATGTCAAAATTAAGAAAGTTAAGAGTTCCTGTTTGGCAAAGAAATTTTTTGGAGGCATGTCTAAAAATTTACTGCAACTTACTATAGAAGTTGCAGAAAAAAATTTTTGAAATGTGTAAATTTCTGGATATTTTGAAGTGTGTAATTTAAAATTTTTGAGAAGTTTTTTGAGATTATGGTAGTTAAAATTGTTAAAAAATTTGTAGCAAATAAACTTGGTCACAAACTTACTTGCCAAACAAGGCCCTAATTTTTACAACCCAAGGGAACATCACGGGGTAGGTAAACAAACACCGCGCATGTATTGTCTCCTCAAAAGCACAAGCCAGTTGCATGCGGACAGGCGTCAAAAGATAACAAAAAAGTTTCTGTCCAGCTTGCTTCCCGTCTTTGCTAGCGTTTCAATAGACATTTCGTTTAGCTTGCTTCCCATCAGAATTGAGTTTGTACCATGGTGGCAGTCCCATCGAGCTATTTTTTCTAATCATGCAACGCTTTCATTTGGGTGTTCAAAAAGATTAAATAAAAAAAAAGAGGTAGTCGAGAAAATTGAATTGGTCTAAACCAAAAAAAAAAAAAGTGATCAATCCCTAATCTTTAACATGGTTAGTTTGTCTGAACCTATATGAAAAACTATATGTTAAGATGTGATTTTCAATTTTCAAAATTTGTGGTCACCTGAACCTATGTGTGTACGTATACGTGTAAGATTGGTTAAGATGACCAGTGTCCAAATGTAAACCATAATTATTTAATCATTTGCTAATAATTTAAGTTAAGAGACTCATGCCATAAATATATATATATATATATATTATTTTTCAAAACTTGTAAATTTATATATTTAATCATATCTTCCACTTACTTTTTCGTTTCTTGCATTTGCTGCCACTAATTTCAATTATTCTACTACTCTATCTTTTTTATCTTTCTTCAAAATTTCTTTTCTTTTCTCATAAATTCTTATCCACTTCACACTCTATCCATTTATTTTTGAATTTTTAGAGCTTAAATGTTTGGTTGTGAAGCAGTTCGGCATCCTTAATAGAAAATGAATTAATAGTTTTCAAGAAATAGAGAAAATTAAAACAAATGTTTGAATATATTATGTTTTGATTATCGATTAATCTTTGTTTTTCTATTTTGTTGGTATTTTTTTTAGAGTTTTAGGATTAAATACTCTTATTAATTTAGACAACTGTTGCATTGTTTTTTTTTTAATCTAATTTATTTTTCTTGTTCTTCTACAAGTGCAAGAGTGTTAGGTTATCCTGTGTGCCAATCGCATCTTATAGGTTAACAAGTCAGTGGTTAAATATAATAAGGGTATCCAATGCAATTTTGCTGAATTGCAACTTGCGGCAAGGGTCAATGAAATTGTAAATGAACTGATTGCGGATCCATGAACGTTAGCTTCCACCGCTCTACGTATTCACACTTCTTCCATCTAATTTTAACCTTAAAATGAGCCCATCTCTTCGCATCTCTTCTTTTCTTTTGGGTTGGGGGGCTCTTGTCTCACATAAAGCCCAAAAGTATCGGACAGTAGTAAGGTTCCCTGGACCAATAATTTGCTCGGAGACCCAAGTTACACGATAATTAATACTCCCTCCGTCCCACTTTGATAGTCCTGTTTCTTTTTTCACACAGTTTAAGAAAAAGTAGTTAACTTTGTTGGAAAAATAAATTTAGATTGCTATTTTCCTAAAATACCCTCACATTAAATATGGTACAACTTTATGGGAACTTGAATTGATGGTAAAAAAAGAATCAACTCTCATTAAATGGGGTAGGTGTATAGTAACAACTACTTACATTGAATAAGGGTATTTTAAGAAAATTAAAATACAACTACATTCTTCAGTTGGAAAGTGGACTACAATTTGGGACAGATGAAAAAGAAATACATGACTATCAAAGTGGGACGGAGGGAGTACTAAGAGAGGTAAAAATAAAACGAGGCCAGCGAAATAGTAAAAAAATCTCAGAGAAGGTTTGTGAAATTATCCCATTTAGCAGCCTATTTCCCTCTCTGTCGGTTTTTAGCAGCCTAGTTTTCCGAGAGAACGAGACCCGGTTTACCTTTAACGCGCCTCTTGTTGTCAGTTGAAATCTAAAGGTCGTATAGTATGATCAGATCGTACATGGTTATAATAGTACTGACATTTATATGAAGTATTCCATTTCTAAGGCATTTATAAACGACATTTTTCAGCCAATAATAGTACTACTGTTAATTAAGACGCAAATCAAGCCGCTATTCTATAATAATATTTTATGTTCGGGGGTCTTCTTCATCGATCCTTGATGAATGACTTTGGATTTTAATACGTACTGCTAGCAGGCAAGCTGAGCCCATAATTAATGGGCATCCGTCCCATGATAATCGAGTGCTATTTGGTTATTTTGTCGAGAACCCGAGAAAGTGAAATCATTACATTACAGCAACAAAGTAAAAGACCACGTGGAATTATTTATGCTTCAAATTTACTCCTTTGTTTATTCCTGCCACTCTAAGCAACCGAGTGCTCCTTGAGCTCAATGATCAATAATATTCATGATTATTGCTCCTCCTACTTTATGCCCGCTTTTTTCAATTCAATAATGCCCTTTTAGCTAACAAAATCAACCGCACCACTCTACTACCTGTCACCGAAACATCCATCCAAGAAATTTCTTCTACTTTCAGCTTCTTCATTTTCATTACTTTTTTTATGAAGCTCGCAATTCAGTCCCTCTTGGATTATGGCTATTTTTAGGATTTTTTTTTTGTAAAAAAATGTATTATAATATTTAATGTATATAAATAAAAAATATATATTCACGAAAAAACAAAATTTCGTTTTTTATAGAAAACTACTACAATACAAACAAAGTCTGAATCAGAAGTCAGCTCAATGTTTTATTTGTAATTTGTAATCTTTTTCTACCTATATTCCCGCGCACTAGGACGAATTAACAAATGATGAATTCCACAAAAGGTAGAGTTGGATTGAATTGAATGTTGAAAGTGATTGTAATTAGAAGGTCTGCGTTGAATGTCTCCTATTTATTAAAAAAGAAAAAGAAAAAATGCATGAGTAAAAACCGGTCCTCAAAAGATTCCATATGAATAAAATATGTGACTACTTTTTAAAATTTGGCAATTAATGTGCCCTTAATTAATACTAGTAGTAAATCTCTAAAACCTAGGCGAAAAGTAATGAATGAAGCACGGGTCAAGCGGGCAGGTGGTGAGTAGTACGTGAGACCCCGTAACACCAGCTGGTATCCATTGCCGTTCTTATCTGATTTTTTTTTTCTCCCTTTTGAAATGCTACTACTAATAATTTGAAATCCAGCATCCAGGTGAATGGATTAACAACGTTCCACATTTTGACAAAATCAATGCTCGTAGGAAACGCTGTCGTCTTTGTCCCTTCCGGTTTCTTAACTCAAGTAGTACCATAGTTGATTGAATTCCAACAAGTTCTTGTTTCTGATTTGGATACGGATTAGTGATCATAATATTCTTCCAGTGATAGCGTTTCACTGTGGCGGACTCCGTTTTTGCGAGGGAAAAACAACACAGACAGCGAGAGAAATCAGAAATATGTAGAAATCTGAGGGAATATCTTTAAAAAAAAAACAACAAAAGGAACAGTAAAAGAAAAAGAAAAAAGGGGCGTGCGCGAACAACGGACGAAGCAGGGCATCTTTTTCCCCCGATCATCAATTTGTTCCTCACGAGAAAAAGCAAAAGCTCAAAACTAACTTTGGCTTCCAAATACTACTGATTAATAATCTCTTTATATTTACCATTAGTATTATTTTGGGCTGATGCATTGCATGGGCACACGCGGAAGAGAAGATATACTGGTCATAGGAGAATGAACAAAGCTAGAAAGAAAAGGGTAAAGATGTCTTGTTGAATCTCTGCACCTCTACACCAAAAATCCCTTTACTTTTTTCTTCCTTTTAGCAGCAGCCTAGCACCGGCCCTCCCCCCTAAACATGGCGGACGATCTCTGTTTCTTCAACAAGGTGCGTTCTTTTCTGGGTCTCATGTATCTTTGTCTGCAAATATTGTTCTGGGCTACAAACTTGTCATTTTGGCAGAAATTGGCGTTTTTCCCCCGTTTCGTTGAGGTTTCTTGAATATATTGTTTGTCCTTCATCTGGGTTATGGGATATTTGGATACGTGTTGCCTCCATCCATCTCAGGCTTTGGCTTTCTGCTCCTAGCATTCTACAGGAGCAAACCCTTTCCCTAGTTTGAATATTTCTTTTCAATTTTGTTTAATTTGTGTAGGAATAATCATTTAAACATGCATTAAGAAGTTCATGGGAAATAAAGATAGTGTTGCCTACTTCACTGAAATTCCAACGATCAATTTATTTCTGTTATTGTAGCTCATTTTTTGTGAAAAATCAGGCCATCCTTGGAATTTTCCCTTTCTTTTGCTTAATTATGTATATTCGGATTATATTGGTGGGAGGGGCAGGGGAGGATGAAAATCTGGAGCTTGGATTGTGCTCCTTCATCAGCCATTCGGGCCAGAAGATGACATTTCTAATGACATTTAGTTTATCCGTCGTTTCAGGATAGCTTGATCCTTAAGCCTCCGAAGAAGTCTACATTGTTGTTGAGAATGGTGGTCTTGATATTTTCAATGGTTTGCGGAGTATATATATGTTCTATATGTCTTAGGCAAATTAGTTCCCGGTCCACTGCGCGGTTGTTAAGTGTGGAAGTGGTGAGGCCCTGCGAGCCACCTGACGTCGAGCCTTCAGAAAAACCTTTTGTGCACTTCCCCAAACCTAAAACTTTTCGCAGGTGAGACATTGACTTGCACATTTCTGCTAGGGTCTTTTAATTGCTGATGAACTCAAATGCCTTGTTTTGGATAATTAGGGCCGAATGTGCATGCCATCCTGTTCGAAATTTTGCAATTTTGTCCACACAAAGATCAGGAAGTGGATGGTTTGAGACATTGTTAAACAGTCATATCAACATAAGTTCAAATGGGGAGATTTTTTCTGTTAAACCCCGGAGGGCTAATGTTTCAACAATAGTTGAAACTTTAGATAAACTCTACAATCTAGATTTTTTCACTAGTGCTTCCAAGAATGAGTGCACTGCTGCTGTTGGATTGAAGTGGATGCTTAATCAGGTGAGTTACTGGAATATTTCAAGTTCTCTCTGTTGCTTGTGTTGTCTAAAATTTCTTTTTGATACGAGAACACCATTTTGATTTTGTTGGAGTTCCTCTGGTCTTTTAATTTTCTGTTGCTATAGGGTAGTGAAATCTTAATTACCAGTACCGCATTATACAGAAGCCGTCCTCCCCCCCTCCCCCAACCACAAAAACCCACCAAAAAAAAGGTTATTCAGAAGTTCACTTTAAACCATTCCTGTGACAAGCGAACCACTCTTGTCAAAGGATCACGAAACTTTAACCCTTGCAGCAGGGTTAAGCAAGAGCTGCCAGTTCTCTTTCTATCTCCATGAGTAATAGATTTAACTGGTCCACACATGATTTGAAACTGCATGTATTGTATTTGGGCTATGGACATGCCAAGGTGTAAACATCTTGAGTTGTAGATGGGTGGGATCAACTTACAGCGTGTCAGATGTTTTGTGTGCTGGTGTACTTTTCTTCTGACTTTACTTTTGACTCTTTAAGCTTCATATATGATGTGCATCTCATTTGTGGAATTTATTACTGCTTCAAAACCTCAAGTTAATCAGGCTGTAATATGTATTTAATTTAGCTAGTGTCTAATGGTTAGATCATAAGATATCCATGACTAGATTAAGCTAGGCAGGATCTGTGGCGACTGGTTGTGAAAGGAACTGACAATTTTGGTTTGTAGGCTTTATTCAAACATCTCCTGGAATCCAAAAGCCAAAGAGTGGTTGTTTTTTTTTTTTTGGGGGGGGGGGGGGCATGAGGTGTGTGTTGTGATGTTTATGACATAACTCCAGAAAAAAATAGTACCGCTAATTCGGTACAAGTGACTCATGGCCGTTATGAATTCCTAACCATATTGCTGCTTGTCGTGCCAAGCATTTATATGAGCATAACAATACTAGGTTATGCATACAATTTGCTCCTCCTACTGGTGTGTGTGAAGTTATTATGTGTTGCCAAGAGTTAACAGCTGCGTAAATACTTGCTTTCTCTTCCATGTGTTTGCTAAAGAACATCAAACGTGGCTTCTGAATTTATTGTTCAAAACTGCATGCCTTAGTTTTTTGCATATTTCAGCGAATTCATGCAGTCATATATTAAGTTACGAGTCTAAATGCAACATAGCTTTGGCTACCAAAATATCCACCTGAAGAAAGGAAGTAAACTCTGATGAAAAGGAAATATCAGTACATCGTATGTCTGCTTATAAATAATGCTGTGACTTTACACCTAAAGAAAGGCAAGTAGAGGAATTGACTTTCTTTAGGTTAAGAAAAATGAGAAATTCACTTTTCATTCATAATAGGTGGGAAGTGCACTGATCTTTTTGGGTCTATTGCAGGGTCTAATGCAGAATCATGAAGAAATAGTACAATACATCAACGATAAAGGAGTTTCCATAATTTTTCTCTTCAGAAGAAATCTTTTGCGCAGGATGATCTCTATACTTGCAAATTCTTATGATCAAAATGCCAAGCTACTGAATGGAACACACAAATCACATGTGCATTCTCACCAGGAGGTCTCTCTCTCTCTCTCTCTCTCTCTCTCTGTGAGACAATAAAACAAACATAGAGAGACATGCAAATGAACATAAAATGTTATTGACCAATAATAGTTGTTCCTGAAACCTGAACAACTGTTGCAGGCTGAGATACTTGCAAGATACAAGCCCACAATCAATGCAACATTGCTGATACCGAACCTGAGGCAAGTAGAAGAGATGGTTACTAAAGCTTTAGAATACTTCAAGAGCACTAGACATATCGTCCTCTATTATGAGGACATAATAAAAAACCGAACTGTAAGACATCATCCCATGTATCACTATCTTTTCATTCACTTTCACTGAGAAAACAAAAAACTTTGGCGTTTCATTTTGTTCTCTTGTAAACTGAAGCTACTTCTTGTACTTCTTTTCCAGAAACTGATGGACGTTCAAGACTTTCTGAGGGTTCCAAAAATGGAGCTCAACAGTCGTCAGATAAAAATACACAGAGGATCCTTGTCTTCCCAGGTTGAGAATTGGGTAGACGTTGAAAAGGCACTGAAGGGAACTCCGTACGAGAGCTTCCTACAAGCTGATTATAGGGTGTAGATTTTCATGCTGTGTGTAAATATAGCACGGCCCTTTTTTTTTTTTTCTTTATTACCTTTAATCATTTCATTCATTATTTTTGGTTAGCAGAAGCTAACAGGGCAGCACCCTGTTAAAATTTTGGCCACAGCACCTAGCTTCCCCTTCCGCCGACACCAAAGGACAGAAATGCATAATAGTAGTGAATGTAGTTCAATTTTTATATTTATCAGTTCTCCTGGCAACGTGTATTCGGATCCATATATGTCAAAGAGTGCTAATGCATATCGAACAGTCTGCAGTTATACAACAGTGTAGCTGATCAGGATGTAACCCTCATCGTAGATTGAATTTCCATACTCAGCAGCATAGCAAAATTTATGTTATTTCTCAGAAGAATGAGATTCAGAAGAGTCTTGAATTTGTGTGCGGTAGCTTCAGGCAAGTGTTATATTTGCGAGCACATAGGTTATGCCATGAAGCATTATCAATTTGTACGAAATGCCTGAATTTTTCATGTTTTATTTCTCTTTTACAGTATATATATATATATATATATATATATATATATTTTGGTGGCATCTTGAAATCTAGTTTAGTCGTTAATTACGTTTTGAAAGCATTGCTTCGAAGAAGAGACACCTGTGCTGTAGCGTTTCATCAATCGGATTTTGTCAATTGTACATAACCCATTTCAGGTACATCAATGCTACTTTCGAGTATGTTACTGCTACGATTGGGATTTGTCAATTATAGATTACAGAATCCAGATACAGTCATAAATACCTAAATGCTTTGCTACCCAATTGTTAATGACTTGGCTTCTTACCGCAAAATACGAGGAAGCTTTGGTGGTCCTGAGTTCTTTTTAATGCGTGATGGCGGCTGTGAAGATCAGAACCAACTCAAACAAGGGTCGGGTCCTCTTTGGACTATAGGTTAGGGGTTTGAACCCTATCTACAGTGAAAAAAAATTTAAAAGAGTTATCAGAGCACCATATTATCGTTATCGTAAAAAAATAGTTCATGCTTCAACTGTTGTCTTTTCAATCGAACCTAAATCCCAATACCTGATCTTGTAGAACTCATTTTAAGTAGAGATCAAATATTTTGAGTATATCTTTTTAATACCAAATGGTTCATGCTGCATTGTGATGATACTCATATCTCAATGTAAACAACATATACTAGTAATAATTAGCCGAAGTAGATATGTTCCTAAAATCTTCCAAGTTAAAGAATAATCAGTTGATATTTCCGTCATGCTAGTATATCTTACGGACCAGCAATTTGTGACACCAGTTCTCTTTCTCAATTTGTGGTTTGTGGTTGGAGAAAATTACAAAATAGCACCATCCTCCTAAACATGTACTGTAAAAGAATATCATAAGACGAGTTGAAAACGACCGGGCAATTGGAACTTTTGTGACTGGTACCAGCACCAAGAATAATGCCAGACATAAGTTAACAACGAAGAATTCTCAAAAAAAAAAATTTTTTTTTTTGGGGTAAAAAACAAGAAGAATTCTCAATTAACGTGGTGGAAGTCGGGACAATAACCTTGCACGCAGGCGGAATTGACGTAAGCGAAAAGCCAAAAAGGGAGAGAAAAAAAAAGGGAGGGAATGTAGTCAATAAAAAGAACGAATGATTTGAATCAGACAATGACGCTGATGCACCAACTACCCATCATTAGCCACGTGGCGTCCACACCGAATCCCGCTGTAAACATTTGACCAGTAAGGAAGCCACGAGGAGAACTTATTGATGAGTCTTTGATCTCTGTCAAAGTCATCGTTGCCAAGGAGCGGCAGCAGCAGGAGGCGTCTCCCCTTGCCCTAGAATCGGATTTAGTCACGAGCCGAGAGATTACCTTTCTACATCCGATAAAAAGGTGATTAATAATATGTTTTCTAACACTTGTTTGCGTTGCCATTTTTATTTTTATATTTTTCATAAATTATTTTTTGTCCCACGTGCGTGCGTTAAATCATTGAAATATATTTTTCTATAAAAAATCTAAAAATCACAATTCAAATGGCTTTCGCTTGCATATACATACAGGCATGTAGAATTATTGGAGGTGTCATCATTAATTTTTTCCCCGAGCCTTAAATGGTTTTGGCTCCAGAAAACCTTGACCCAAGAAACGAAAAGGAAAAAGAATGTACGATGCATATGACTATGGCCTCGTTTGACAAGTGAATTTTTTGAGTGTTTGTCTAAAATTTTACTGTAATTTACTGTAGAAGTTTTTTAATAAATTTTTGAAGTGTGTAAATATTTGAATATTTTGAAGTGTATAGTTTAAAAATTTTAAATTTTTTTTGAGATTACTGTAACTAAAGTTTTTTAAAAACTTGTACAGAAAAATTTGATAAAAAAACTCATATGCCAACAGGGCCTATGTAAGGAATGTAAGCAGTGAAGGGTATAAATTCGTACATTTATCCCAAAAGCAAGGATACAAAATATAACCGTTGTTTGAAAAAAAAAGTTAGCATTTTAAAATTCCTCTGTTTTTTTTTTCAAAACGCCCATTCTTCCAAACTTTTTAATTTTTTTAATCTATGTTAACCTCTATAGTATCAACAAACCATCCTTACCATCTCTAGCATTGATACCTTATTTAATTTTTTTAGCAATATTTTATTCTAAAACTTAAAGGTGTTTTAAAGTATATATTATAAATATGATTTTAATCAAACTTTATTTTTCTAAAAGAAGCCAATAATAGGCCGTTTGATGGACCGATAATCAATCAAATAAAAGTTATATGAACAAGAAAAGCAAAATACATGAGTATACACATAGTGGGTAGAGAATTTCAAGTTCAAGCCTTATGAATGGAAAAAAACAAAACAATTTTGAGAGAGCTACCACTGAGAGGGGTTCGTTGATGCTTAACTTTAGATTAGTCGAGTTCAATGTCACTGGACTCTATAATTTTTTTTTTAAACAGTGGAGAATTTTTTTCTTAATAGGTTTTTTTAATTTGTGCTTGGATTGATTGATAAGCGGCGGAAACAGTTTAGCATGTTATGAGATGTATGCTTAAGTTCTAAAGCATATCTCAAATGTCATAATACGAAAACATTTTCACAAAAAGGTTTTTTTTGTGAGCGACCAAAGCTATATGGACTTTTGTTTTGCCCGGACATTTGTTTCAATACGATTATCATATTATTACTAGGAGGAGGAGGGATAGCACCAGTACTGTCTAATTAAAAAACATAAGAATAATTTGACCCTAAACATGATCAAATTGTGCTCAAATAAAACAATTAACACTACCTTACACGAATGCTACTACCGTTACCATGTTGGCAACGTGGTAGTCGACCAAGTCCGCAGCCAGCTGCCTAGCGTAGCAGCTAACACAGCTGCGAGGCAGCTACTGCCTACCAGAGGAGTACCCCACCACCACCGCCGCCGCCGCCCGCATTTACATGGATTGGGATCAATCAGTGGCTATCCCGTTAGACAGAGGATTTCTCCAATCTCCGTCTCGTCCACGCAATGAGTACTAAATTACTAATCTCGTTCGTCAAACCCCGGGCGAGGGCGAGCGGGGCCCACATCCAAAATAAAATTGACTTCAAAGTTAAGATCACATGGTGACCTGGTTGGGTTTGGAATTGGGACCCACCTCCCGGCGCGTATCTGCTGTCCCCACTTGTTCGTCATCTCTTCCCCACTCCTAGTCCTAATCCGACGCGGCCCAAAATTCACATCGTTGCTAACAATAATATGTAAACCAATGTTTTGAAATTCCGTTGATTGAATCGATGGATGGAGTGTTTGATCGAGGTGAAATCGATCCGATCGGTTCAATTTTGGTTCAATAAATTTTGTAAAAAATAATATATATAAATATATATACACAAAAATATGACATGCATTGGACTAATTTAAAATTTTATATGATAAAATATTTAATATTTTCAAACTTGAATTTTTACAAATAAAATTTTAAAATTATAAATTAAAACAAATAAATTTTATCTTAATCTTAATTGAATTTATCAAAAAATAATCTTATATCAAACCAAAAAATACCACAATATTTTACAATTATATAAAATTCACGTGTATGGAAATTAAACATTGTGAGTTTAAATTTTAATTCACATTTTTTATATTTAAATAGTGCAACTTAAAAAAAAAGAAGATTGCAGTTGGAGGAAATCAGGAAAATAGAAAATAGAAATACAAATTTGATAAGAGAACAAAATGAGAAGAAAGTGAGTGGATGTGATATTTAATAATTAGTCTTTAATGTTAAGGAAAAACTATTTTTTTAAATTTTTCTAATTTAATAGATAAAAACAAAAAAATCATTGGTTCAACAGTTCAATCCGATTTATAAGATTCAATTCAATTTTTAAGTCTAATTAATTCAATGTATGAACTGGACCAGAGTTACAACTGGTTCCGGTCCACCTGTCTAACATCCGGTCCGGTCCGGTTTCCAAAAAACATTGATGTAAACCACAGTAGTACACCCTAGATCCGTCGTAACCCCTCCTCTTTTTAGTCATCCCAAGCCGACTCCTCCATTCTCTCTTTCGCTCTCTCTTTGTTCACCTGGTTCTTTTTTCTCCTCTCAGACCAGGTTGGTTACCCTCCCTTCGACTCTCTCTCTCTCTCTCTCTCTCTCCCAAAACAATACAAATACAAGCGCTAAACAGTGTAAAATTCTCCACTTGAGAGGAGGAGTTGGGAGGGGTAAATTCCGGAAAGGAGAAAAATGAACGGTGGAGATTTGACGAGTCAACAACAGCAGCATCCGCATCAGCATCAGCAGCAGCAACAGCAGCAGCAGCATCATCAGCAGTGGATGGCGATGCAGCAGCAATGGATGTCCATGCACATGCAGTATCCGGCTGCTGCTATGGTGATGCAGCAGCAAATGATGTATGACCGGCAATACGTGCCGGCGGCGGCTTACTATCATCACCAACTCTATCAACAGCAGCACCAACTCTATCAACAACAGCCGCAGCACAAGCAGCAGAGTCAGATTCAAAATTCCAGCGAAGAGAACCGCACGATCTGGATTGGCGATCTCCAGCAGTGGATGGATGAAGCTTATCTTCAGTCTTGCTTCTCTCAGGCCTCGGAGGTTGGGTTTATTGCATCCTTCTATTCGTTAAATGCTGTAATTCGCGTTAAAACATCTGTTGTTGTCGATTTATATACTACTTAAAATATCTTATTTCTAGAAGTTCCGTAGAGTATTAGTGACGGTTCATTAATCGAATGTGGATAGTTTAGTGTTTCATACTTTATCTACAGTTTACTGACCAATTAGCTATTTAAGTGGATATTGACTGCTTATCTTTCTCTATTGGAGTATTAACGTCTTCATAGTCATTCTAAATGTATTATAGATTCAGATCTGGTATTTTGAAGGATCCAGCTGTTTGTTGGTCGTAATTGTGCTGTTGTTTTGTACTGTTTGTCTTTCATGACAAATGGAAGAAAAGCTAGGAAACTAACGCCTATACGCACACAATTATTGGATGAGAAACTGTCTGAGTTGATTATTTCGTAGGCAACAATATTGTGCCCTAGCACTTCTCGTTTTGTTTCACCGCTCGTACTTTAGCAACATTTCTGAAGTGTTATGTGTGTTTAAATGCCAAATTATTTGGAGTAAGAAGAATCTATATGTTACTACACTTTGTAGTTGTTATTTATCTATCCTAAACAAGTATGTTTTCCAGCAAGTTGGCATCTTCTTATGCATGGGACATGTAGTTGGATGTTGTCTCTTCCAGGAAACTCTATTACATGTTTTCGAAACCCAACCCAAAAGTGGTAATTCCAAATTATGTGTCCTCAAAGGAGGGACAGAGACACCAGTCAAACATTTACCAAAAGCTAAGCGTGGAGTTGGAGCAAAAGATGATAATTAGTAGTTTTCTGAAAATATTGAAAACAAAAAACTTGTTTTGAGAAGTAAAGATAGTAGTGTAGTAAAGGGACAAATGTAATTAGATGTTCTTGCTGCATGACTCATGTTTCGCATAAGGAATGTATGATTTCAAGATCAAAATATCAAAGGTGCTGAAATTTATTTTGTTAAGCAGGTGGATGCATTAAACATTTCTTCTTAAGACGTCTACAATGTATTGCTATGTCCTTTGACTGTCTGTCTCTCTGGCTCTATTGCATTCTATTTCCAATTTTTACGTACTTTATGTTTGTTCATGAACTAGGCTTTGGAAATGGTTTTCTAGTTGTATTCAACTTGGGTTTGGCTACTGGGCAATTTTGTATTTGCCCCTGAGATATCATATCACATAATGCCAATCACCTGCTCCGGGCACTTTGAGAAAAACGTTTCTTTCTCTTTCCTCCACTACTCCTAATCTCTTCCCTCCTTAATAATCAAATGAAGTATAGTTACTGTTAATTGTTTCATTCGTTTGTGCTTGACACGTGATTTGACAGATGCATGCAACAGATTATTTGTAGTGGCATTGGCTACTCCATAAAGATGCTGCATTTTGCATTAGCTGGTTTTTTTTTATTATATTTGTTTAATTATTTTTTTTTGGTTGCTACTTTCATTTGCCTACGTATACCCTGGCATTGCTGATGACTGCAAACTTGCATGTCTGGAGGTACAGAAAGTATGTACCTTGCATTGCTGATGACTGCAACTTGCATGTCTGGAGTACAGAAGTACGTGGCTGGCCAGAAGTACTGATAGATATTTATAGCATACTCTTGATTGTTGTTCCATGCATGGTGACATCTGGATAAGAGAATACGGTTCTGTAGCATGTTATGGTATCCAGTCTCTTGCATGATTTCTTTGGCTTGGATAATATTTGCTTATTTGTTGTGCCAAAAAAAAAAGAAAAGAAAAATGATATGGCTCTTTTGTGGAGTAGAATATGTGCTTATTTGTGTAAAAGAAACTTGCCGATAACATCTGTATGTTTAATGTAACTTTGTTGGCCTACTTTACTAGGATTCTGTGGTAGTCAAAGGAGCACGGTTTGATAATGGAATGATTGGCATATGTTGTTATTGGGCATGAGTTTGGCTTCTTGCATAGTACAGTTAAGGTTTGGACTTGTAAGAAATTCTTAAGGTGGACAATTTAACAAAGTTACAGTTTGTTATCTTTTGCAAAAGAAAAAATTTAATTGCTAGATCTTAGCTCAAGTGCCTATGGCAAATGAGTTTTAGTCTTTTTTTGATTTACTATGAGGTGCTCTGTTTTCTTTTCAGATTCCTAATGGTATAGTACAGTGATAATTTGTTGCACTTGTATCAGTTGAATCTCATTTTACTAGTTTGTACTATGCAAGTACAAAGAAAATTGACGAAATTTCATAGTTATTCAGTCATGTTCTTATGTTATATGGTCTTGTTGAACTTACTCTCAACATTTAAAATCACACAGCTTATTTTTCTGTCAAAGTCATTCGCAATAAGCAGACTGGTCAGTCAGAGCGATATGGATTTGTGGAATTTAGTTCTCATGCAGCAGCTGACAAAGTCCTTCAGAGCTACAATGGCTCACCAATGCCAAATACAGAACAAGTCTTCCACCTTAACTGGGCAGCCTTTAGCATGGGTAATAGGCGCCAAGAAGCTGGTGCTGTTGATCTGTCAATATTTGTTGGAGATTTGGCTGCTGATGTTACTGATTCGTTATTGCATGAAACTTTTGCCAGTAGATTTCCATCTGTAAAAGGTGCAAAAGTAGTAGTTGATCCGAACACTGGCCGCTCAAAGGGTTATGGCTTTGTTCGGTTTGCAGATGAGAAAGAAAGAACTCAGGCAATGACTGAAATGAATGGTGCATATTGTTCTAGTAGGCCAATGAGGATTGGTGTTGCTACCCCCAAGAAGGCGTCACCGCAGCAACAGTATTCTTCCCAAGGTTATCTTTTGGATCCTTTTTTTAAACTTGAATCGTGTTCTTCTAAATTTTCCTGTTTCTATGTTTATGTTCTTTTCCCTATTTTATCCTTGTTGAATAAGGACAGACGTATTTCATTGTGTAAGCATTTGGAAGTAAAAATTTGTTTTGTAATGTTCTTTATTCTTTCTGTAAACATGAAAGTAAAAACAAACTTCATTGTTTATAACTAATGTTAGCAATATTTCGCAGATGTGTTAATGTTATATAACCCTGTGCTTGTGATAAAGAGGCCATTGTTTTGTCCTCCTGTTTTGTCATGTAATATTTCCGTGTCCTGTGAGGATATGGATAGATGTGGCTCTTTATTTATGTAGCTTCATATGATTATTTTGGTTCTGCTTTTCGTTTGGTTCATTTCTACCTTTCGCTGTCTGGTGGATGCACAGAAGAGGTGGTTTTTTCTGGAAATGAACCATACAGCTTGAGTTCAATGACGATTGTTATCACACATGAAATATTTTGTTGCACGCTATCTATTTGCTCTATAGTGTCCTCCGTTTTCTGTGTTTTGAACCATCAAACTCTCAAGACTAATGTTTTCTTATAGCGGTAGTATTGGCTGGAGGATATCCATCAAATGGTGTTGTGCCACAAGGTTCGCAGTCTGACAGTGATTCGTCAAATACAACAGTGAGTTAAAATTCCTTTGAAGTTGGATGCTAGAATGGTCTATTCTTTTACTAATGTAAAGTTGTCTTAGATTTTTGTGGGAGGACTTGATTCTGATGTAACTGATGAAGAATTGAGAGAGTCCTTCAGTCAGTTTGGTGAAGTAGTTTCAGTGAAAATACCTTCAGGAAAAGGATGCGGTTTTGTACAATTCTCTAATAGGTAATTTCCTCCCAACGCTTTTGCAGTGCATGGTAAATTCTTTAGTGCAAATCTCGCTAAACTAAGACAGATTTGTCATGCTTCATTTTTTTATTGCTCGTGGTATGAAGCTTAGAAAAGACTAATAGTATAGGAAATCATGGGAAATGAACAGTCAAATATGACATGTTTGAATTAGCATAAACTAGAAAGATTCTTATGATTTTAAATTATTTGTATCTACAGAAGCAATGCTGAAGATGCAATGCAGAGACTGAATGGAGCTGCTATTGGCAAACAGATGGTGCGTCTATCTTGGGGTCGGAATCCTGTAAACAAGCAGGTAAATCTGCAACATTAGTGAATTGATTTTCTACTTGAATGTCATATGCTGAAAGACCATTTAAACATCTGCTGGCTAGTTTCTGTCTGCTGAAAGCAAGTTACATACATCTCAGAGAGAGTAATGGATGGACCCTCCCCCCCCTTCTCCTCTCTTTTTCTTCCTTATCCCTAGTAGCGTAGTAAAACTCATGTCGATGTCAGGATTTAGTGGGGAAATTATTTTACCTGTATATCATTTTGCTTGAGTGATAAAATTGCTGGGAAGATGAACTTACATTTCTAGTTTTTTTTCTACTCTTTGAACTGCTCTTCCCTTTCATCCTCCGTGTTGTTCTCTATTATTGTTCCTGATCTTTCTTTATCTGTGTCATACAATGTGAAGTTTCATAGACATCTCTACATGTTTAATATGAGAAGCAGAACTTGTAACATGTATTCTAGGCTTGCAAGTCATAGCCAACTTTTCATCAACCACACTATCAAATGGAATCTGGATGTAGTTCCAGATACCACCAAAGTAGATTTTCAATTTCTTCTTGTCCTTGCATCTCATTTGGTCCTTGAGTCTTAATTTCCTCGTAACTGCAGTTGAGAATGGACTCTAGCTACCAATTGAACGGCAGTAATTATGGAAGGCAAGGTCAAAATGGTTACGGGTATCCCATGCCGCAGTATGCAGCTGCTGCAAATGGTGCGGCTTCAAATGGTCATGGGGGCTACCAGCAGCCTGTCAACTGAACTTCGCTGTGTGCCATGCCAATAGTCATAAAGACTTACAATTTAGGGGGAATTTGCTATCTTAAAGATTACATCTGTAATACGTTGAATTTTGTAGCTGATTTGATTTTACTTTTTATAGACATCCCAGATTTTGTCTAAGAAAATCTGATCAAGGAGGCTTAGGAGGCCGGCACGATGGTTGCGTTGGCCAAAACCAGCTTTTATTTTTTACAGTAGATGAGTGCTAGTAAACAAATGAACTTTTATTTAATCTGAAAGATAGATCCATGTGAGATTTATAAATAACTAGCAGGCCAGCTCCTTTTAGCTTTGCTGCAGGTGTTACCTCAATCTGCCATGGAAGTAATGGCTTAATAGAAAGGTGAGGGGCTGGAATGCTATAATTCCGGAAGATATCATTCGTCTTCCCTGGGGTTCAACGCCTTCTTATTCCTGTCTCTATTCTGCAGTATAGTCTAAGTTTGCGAGATTGATAAAGCCTAGCAGGAATCAGATCGGTTTATAAGAGGCAGCTGCTTTTAGAACATAACGCTGAAAGGGATGCGGTTGCTTAATATAATGAATGCATAAGCTCGGGAGAGCTCCTGAAGAAGAATTTCTGAATCCCGCTTTTTGTTGAATGAACAGTGGCTCTTGGTCTTGTTCTTCAAAGATTTATAGGAAAAAAGAGAGTCCTGAACTGGCACCTGTCTATCTCTTCCACTGGGTTGAGTTTTACACGTTCATGCGCCACTTTTGATCCATGGTGTGTACGAGTGGGTTTCCATTTTACTGGTTTATTAGGTGTCAATGAACAAGGTGGGTCATGAAGATTGCGCCTAACTAATATTTCTCTGGTTTTGTTCAACGAATGATGAGTTGGCATTGGTCCATAGGGGTTTCAAAGTGTTAAAGACTCTTAGCATTGTAGAAGTGTGAAGTAAATTCGTGGGCATTGATCCTCTTTAAAAAAAGTTACTTGTATCTTAAATTATGTTTATTCAGTGCCTGTTGCAGATAATTTTTGGTTTGCCCCATCCTATCAAAATGGTCCAATCTGGCAAGCATCATCTGCCATTGCGGGAAATGGCGATTCGCGGTTGCTGGCACACAAACATGCGCGAACCCTTTTAATGAGGAATAGTTGCGGACTTGAATGGGTTCACAACACTCGAAACGTTCGCGAGTCTTTTTAACCAACGATAACGCAACAGCTTTATCAACTGGAAATGGTGAGACGACACAGTATCGTTATTCTGGAAATGTGTTTAAGGCTCCTCGAATTCATCATTTTGAGTTCTATTGGTCGGATCTTAGGCAATCCTGAATGTTTCATCTAGAGTCTGATCCTGGAGGACACAGAAAAGTGGTCCAGTGGAAGAAGAACTCTACTTTCAAGGATTTGTGTGCACGTATTTCAATCCCAGACTACAGGGCTTTGGGGACCAGCTGCAACTTGCAATGCCAATGGGAGCAAAAGCATCTCTCAGGATCAGGCGATGACGTTCCTCTTCTAAACCCCCACCTGTGCATGAGCCATCAACTAAGCTGTCGCAGGCATCACTGCAAGTCTGCATCCTCTTCAAAATTCCCATTTATTGTTCGGAATTGGTCCTCACAGTTTGCAACTTTCATAGTTTCATGACGATGGCCGGGTCAGATTCTGCTGTAACTCCGGAGGGATAAATCTAATCAAGCAACAAACTTTTAAGCCCGCACATTCCTTGGATACTCTTCCTATTTCAGTTTTTACTACATTTGAGATCAAGAATTAGAACCCGAAAGGGAAGGAGCGCACAAGGTCCTAAAAACCATTGAAAAGTACACAATTTGAAGGGCTCTCTCCAGAAGGATAATCAATGACGTCTCGAAACTGGACATAATTCTTGCAACTTTTAGCATAAACTCATACAACTTTGATGTAATCGTGATTGTTACTCCAACCTAGTCATATGAGCTGACAAACTTTAGGTTTACACGAAAATTGTATCAATTTACACTAAACGTTGTAAGAATTACATGGCTAAACAGAATCAGACAGTAATTCAACTACCTGGAGGCCCCTGATCACCTGAAGCTCATCTATAGCTGGCATGTTTTAGATTTCTTGGCATACAGATTAATAATTTAGCACTAATTGATAACGAAGAAAAGAATAGGAAACTCATTAAAAATGCAGTGATCCTAGTTTGTTATTGCTGACACCTAGATGGATGGCTGCTAACTGTTAAGACTTTTTAACATTCTCATTCTGTCTAACAAACAAGCTATTATTTGTCTTGAGCAGCCAAACCCAATCTGACCGCAAAGTTTTGATAATTAGTGTCAATTTTGATTGCCAAATTTAAGGGCAATGGGTACGTACACAACTAAATACCATTCAACCACTGTTTGTTGTCTTAAATTTAGCTATCCAATTTACATAGAGAATAAATCCTTAAATCAGACCACCAAAATTAATTTGAGAATACTGAAATTGTACATCGTCAAGGGTTCAATCAACTATTTGACACGAGACTAAGATTTAGTTGGCAAAACTGAACTCATCAAGGTTGGAGCAACCATCTCAGTATTTTGCCTTTGTAGATAATTTAAGAAGTAATGCAAACTTTAATTAAGTTAAAATATGTTTTCTGTGTTCTGTTAAAAAAATTTAGGTAATTACGGCTCCAATTCCTACTATATAAACGAATTGTTCGACACTCAGAGCAGGTGGTTGCAAACAGAGTCTTTCTCCAACTGTTCTGTTCCAATCCATCAGCCATGGAGAAAAAGCAGGAGTTGCTGAGCTTGTTCATCCTTTTTATTGTGATGTGCCCTGGCCTCGGCCACGGCTTCGGAAGGACCAAGCGAGTTCTCTAATGTCCTTCCGTCGCGCAAAAAGGGCTGCTCGAGGCACTTCTGCAGATATGGAAGTGGCATTTACGGAGATGAGCTTGGAGATGGAGGATGGAACAAAATCATCATCTGACGTTGGAAAGATGGAAGATGATCTGATTAAGGATGGCCTTCCCGGCCAACCATCGGGAGTGATGTTTAAGCAATATGCAGGATACGTCAACGTGGATAAAGTGAATGGACGTAACCTCTTCTATTACTTTGTTGAGGCAGCTCAGGATCCACTTTCCAAACCACTTATCCTTTGGCTAAATGGAGGTACGGACATACCTAATGTATCCATGAGTATCATTATATCGACATGAAAATCTTCAAAGCAAACCTGGTTTTCTTTGTTATTTGCATTGACATTTTGGGTACGCGTTGCATATGACGCAGGGCCTGGTTGTTCATCCTTGGTTATGGTGCCATGATGGAGCTCGGGCCATTTGGTGTTAACCCTGATGGGACAACGCTCTACTTAAGAAGACATGCCTGGAACAGAGGTTAAAATTGATGAACCTTCCCAACTTCTTGTTTCTATATTTCTAAGGACTTGTCACGCAATCAAACGTTGCATGCTGATATGCATCTTTTCTTGCTAATTCTGGTATTTTATATGACAAACATGATGCAGCTGCAAATACATTATTCCTGGAGTCTCCTGCTGGTGTTGGTTTTTCTTATTCTAGCACCAACTCCGACTACAAAAGGTCAGGCGATAAAAGGACAGGCAGGCACCTTTAACTCCATTCCTTTGGTTTTTTTTTTTTTTTTTTGGGATTTATTTACAACTTGGCCAGGGGTTGGTTCGCACGGGATTTTATGCAACTCTTTACTCCATAAAGCTGAGATTCCCTCATCCGAACATCTGCTGTTGATTCGCTATATTCCACTATTGGAAAGCATCAATTATTGTTATTCTCACGAGTGTCCATTGCAAAACTGGCATGATAGAAAAAAGCTAGCAACTTGCTCTTGATCTTTCCATTAACTTAATGATATCACTCTATGTCGCCCTGTAGCTGAAGATTCATATACATTTCTGGTTAACTGGTTCAAGAAGTTCCCTCACTACAAAGCTCGTGACCTCTACGTAATGGGAGAAAGCTATGCAGGTATAGTTCACAAATCTTATCTGATTGATTAGTCGAATTTCTTGGCGCTGCGGCGCTCAATCACTCAGGGCCAGGGATGTCAGACGCAGATGATGGCTGCCCAATGTCACTTGTCTTTGGTATAGGTTATCAAGGTATATGCTTCACAAGTGATTTAGTTTTTCAGGTTATTACGTTCCAGAGCTAGCAGAAGTGATCATCAAAAGGAATGCAATGGGGGAGCCAATATCAAAGATTCAGCTAAAAGGGATCATGGTAAGCTGATTTGGGTAATTGCCCCAAAGAAAGAGGATTCATGAGGTTCATTGAGTGCACAATAATTGGGGCTTTATTTTGAGTTGAAATGTGGTTTCTTTAGTCCTTTCACACAAAAGCACCTTTCTTTAGCCGTTGCAATAATTGATAGTAAACGGCAAAAGCTTAAACCATACCACTTTACAAAATACTACTGTCTACCACTACACTACTATTTTAAATTAAAACACATATTCTGCCCATAAAAACTAAACCTAATCTAAAAATTTGGCCAAGACTTTTGGTCTCCAATCTCTCTTGAGAATTGTGAGCACATTTTGGCCAGATGGACATAGCATCTGATGGAACCATAAACCTAAATTGACTTAGATTGACGAAGAAAATGATGAAGTATAGGCTACAGGAGTTAGGCTTGGTCGTACATTGTAGCATCTAATAGGAGGGCATGTATGTCAGCAATTTTGTTAAAACCAATAACGACTCCAGGCATGCAGCCAAAGCTTGAATACCAACACAAAACACGTCCAAATGCATTACGGTCGCAACAGTTGCCAAATTCTATAGTCCAAATTCTATTGTTAAGTTGTTTAGGTTGAATACCGACATAAAACACGTCCCAATGCATTGCGGCCGTAACCGTGTAGCATTCTATCTTTTTTTTTTTCGTAATCCGAGGACAAGTGCAACGTTACCAGGCCCTCTGGTAAAATTAATTAATTTCGCAGATCGGAAACGGGATAATGAATGAAGTGACAGATGTGAGAGGAACTTATGATTTTCTTTGGAGCCATGCCCTAATTTCGGATGAAACCTATCAAAGACTCAGAGAGAACTGCATGGTAGAGACCAAAACTTGTCAAGAATTTGAAGACGCAGGGAAGATGGAATTTGGAGCAATTGATCCTTCAAATATCTATGGCCATCATGCTCACATTCTGACAGTCCATGGAGGACCAAACTCCTCGTTGGGTATTTTCCCTGCGAAGGAGATTATGTCGTAAATTATCTCAATCTTCCTCACGTACAGGAAGCATTGCATGCCAACCAAACCAAACTGCCTTATTCTTGGCAGCTGTGCAGGTAAACAACTAATCATTATGCCAAAAAACCTCCTTTTTCGTCTTTCAATCTATGAATAAACAATTTTGAGGAGAGAACCAAGTG